TTGCTCATTGTTGAAGGCCATACGGTGACCTTTAGTTGTTAATTTCTGTCTCATTTGGTCTCTTGTGGAGAGTTGTCTCATTGGCAATCATACCACATCTTCTTTTTTATATTCACTTCACACACATATATATATATATACATATATATATATATATCTTGACAAACAAATAAAAAAAGCCATAGACATTGAAAACAATTCATTTCTATTCTATTGTCAGTCAGCCTACCTACAATGAACTGAAAAGATTCAGTAGGTAAATTATGTGAAAATCAAGACTTGCATCAAAAATATCCAAATATTAGAGACAATAGCGTCATTTTTCCTCAGAGCTTTCAGCTCTTTGATATCAGTAATGTCTTTGAGGAATTTTGAAAGAGAATGCTGATCAACTATTTGTACAAGAATAAATGTTATTTATATTGGATTTTGCATTATAAGCACTCTCACACCTTTATTTCTTGTTGGTTTTTGATGTATTTTATATCAAAGGTTTATTATCAGCAAGCTTTTGAATTTATTCTATAATCAGCACCTGTCAACTTTTACTGTAGAAGTTATAAATGCCTTTTTGACTTAGAAATTTGATGGAAAAGTAAATTGTAAGCCTTCTCACTCACTCAATGCTTACATTTCTTGTAGAAAAGGAACCAATTTAAAAAAGAAAACATTAGAGTTATTGCCCTTGGAAAGAACAAAATATTTGTACATAGGCAGCTGGGGACATCAAAGGTTTATATCAGTAAGGTCTTGGATGAGTTTGATAATCAGCACCAATAAACTATTATTGAAGGAGTTTTGTATGCCCTGTGGAAATAAATATTTCTATTAGGATATTTATGAGAAAGATTAAAAGAACCAATTTGAAAAAAAATACATCGAAATCATTGCCTTTGGAGGGATAAAATAGCGTGACCTTGAAAGGACCTGTGATCTTTAACACAGGTGTATTGTCCCCTGTGCATTCTTGCCAGATTTTTATGAAACTTATATCATTGGTTTATATCAGCAATGTTTTGAAAGAGTTTGAAAAATCAGTGCTGATCAGTTATTTTCAAAAGAGTTGTGCTCCTTGGAAAAATAAATTATATGGAGAATTGCATCATTAGCGCTCTCATTAGTACAATTCTTGCCATATTTTATGAAACTTATATCAATGGTTTATAACAGCAATGTCTGGCATGAGTTCAAATATCAGTGCCGATCAATTATATTTATAAAAGTTATGCCCCTTGGAAACATTAATTATATGGAAAATTGCATTGTTAGTGCTCTCATATGCACAATTCTTGCCAGAATTTTATGAAAATTATATCATGGGTTTATATCAGCAATGTCTTTGACAAGTTAGAAAATCAGTGCCAATCAAGTATTTTTAAAAGAGAAATGCCCCTTGGAAACATTAATTATATGGAAAACTGCCTTGTGAGCGCTCTCATGTGTACAATTCTTTCCAGATTTTTATGAAATTTCTATTATAGGTTTATATCAGGATGTCTTTGACAAGTTCAAAAATCAGTGCTGATTAATTATTTTTGCCCCTTGGAAATATTGATTATATGGAAAATTGCATTGTTAGTGCTCTCACGTGTGGAATATTAATTCTTGCCAGAATTTTATGAAACTTATATCATAGTTTTATATCAGCAATGTCTTTGACACTTTTGAAAATAAGTGCTGATCAAATATTTTTAAAAGTTATGCCCCTTGAAAACATTAATTATATGGAAAATTGCATTGTAAGTGCTCTCATATGCACAATTACTGCCAGCATTTTATGAAAATTATATCTTGGGTATATATCAGCAATGTCTTTGACAAGTTAGAAAATCAGTGCCAGTCAACTATTTTTAAAAGAGTAATGCCCCTTGGATATATTATATGGAAAATTGCCTTGTGAGCGCTCTCATGTGTACAATTCTTGCCAGATTTTTATGAAACTTATATTATAGGTTTATATCAGCAATGTCTTTGACGAGTTGGAAAATCAGTGCCGATTAATTTTTTTTTAAAGAGTTGTGCCCCTTGGAAATATTGATTATATGGAAAATTGCATTGTTAGTGCTCTCACGTGTGCAATTCTTGCCAGAATTCTATGAAACTTATATCATAGGTTTATATCAGCAATGTCTTTGACAATTTTGAAAATAAGGTTTATATATCAGCAATGTCTTTGACGAGTTGCAAAATCAGTGCCGATCAATGATTTTTTAAAGAGTTATGCCCCTTGGAAATATTGTTTACAAGGATAATTGCATTGTTAGTGCTCTCATGTGTGCAATTCTTGCCAGAATTTGATGAAACTTTTATCATATGTTTATATCAGCAATGTCTTTGACACTTTTAGAAATAAGTGCTGATCAAATATTTTTAAAGAATTATGCCCCCTTGGAAATATTAATTATATCTGAAATCGCATTGTATTTGCTCTCAAGCCTTCATTTTTCTAAGATATTTATAAAAAGTTTTAGAGAACCAAAATAAAAGTGTTTTTTTAGTTATTGCCCTTGTACCCTGGATAGATAAAATATGTGCAACGCGGGGGACATTGGAACTGTGTTCTTTTATTGTTAGACATAAACCTGTCAAATTTGCGTAAAAGTGACTTCATTACCTAAAGCAATTTTTTAAAGTGAAATTGTGACTTAAGTGGGGTACGTATGTAGGACTCTAAAGTGCAATGGGGACACTAAAGTACGATGGTCACGCTAAAGTGTGATGGTCTGCGCTAAAGTGCGATGTCTCCATACGCTAAAGTCCGACGGTCTGCGAAAATGTAGACGTAAGAAACGTAGTTGGATTATGACTTTAACAGTCGTTTATACAAACCAAAAATGTACATGCCGGAAGATAAATTAAGAATATTTGATTAACAACTTTTAAACCAAATGTCCATGACTTAATTAATTTAAACCTAACTGTGCTTTCTCGGCTGTAGAAAATGTGGTTTATTTTGGGGTGCTGGAAGAAGGACTTGTATCCTGCAGTTGACCATTTTACTATATAGATACAAAATAGTATACGCATAATTATCCTGTATCCTGCTTCTATTGGAAGCGGACGGATACATTAAATTTGAATCATTGTTTATGTTGTAGTTTACTTTGCGGTTCCCGTAAAGATAGTGTCGATTTTATTGAAAAGTAACGTCGGTAAAATAAAGGTACATGTTTTCATGCGTAAATTATAAATTGTCGGCTAAAACAGTAGTTTGTACATTGTAGGAAAATGTAACATGTACTTGTACTCGCTACGTAAAAGGAGAAAGCTCAGAGAACATCGCCTTTTTCTCTCGTTTATAGTAGAGCTTAAACAAATAAATGTTACTTATATTCCGACAATGAACAAATTTTGTATTTGTAATTTACAATGACGACTGTAAGGGTAGATGTTCACATTAGTGATAGACTGTGTGAACGGCAAGCTACACCAATTATCCAAATATTTAATACGCCTGAATTGTTAAAAAATCATTTACAGAAAATGTAGTATTTTGAGACACCTAAATTACCTTTTTAGCAATTATTACGTGGTTGCCTGTCTTCTAAATTTAGAAACAATCACTTAAGCCTACCAGTAAATTATAAAGCCTATCACATATGTTATACCTTAGCATACTAGCTTTTGCAAAAAGACTATTTTTTAACATCCATGTGCTTTAATCACAGAGTGATATACCATCGTACTTTAGCAAACAAACAACCATCGCACTTTAGCGTGAGACACCATCGTACTTTAGTGTAGACAATCGCACTTTAGCATGACCATAGCACTTTAGAGTACCAACGCACTTTAGAGTCCTACACGTATACCCTACTGGAGCCCCCTATTTCCTATTCCTTTAAGCTCACCTGGCCCAAAAGGGCCAAGTGAGCTTTTCTAATCACTTGGCGTCCGTCATCCGTCATCGTCATCCGTCATCGTCGTCATCTGTTAACTTTTACAAAAATCTTCTCCTCTGAAACTACCAGGCCAAATAAAACCAAACTTGGCCTAAAGCATCCTTATGATATCTAGTTGTAAAAAATATATCTGATGACCCCACCTATCAACCAAGATGGCTGCCATGGCTAAAAATAGAACATAGGGGTCAAATGCAGTTTTTGGCTTATATCTCTGAAACTGAAGCATTTAAAGCAAATCTGACATGGGTAAAAATGTTCATTAGGTCAAGATCTATCTGCCCTGAAATTTTCAGATGCATCAAACAATCCATTGTTGGGTTGCTGCCTCTGAATTGGCAGTTTTAAGGAAATTTTGCAGTTTTTGGTTATTAACTTGAATATTATAATAGATAGAGATAAACTGTAAACAGCAAAATTGTTCAGCAAAGTAAGATCTACAAATAAGTCAAACATGACCAAAATTGTCAATTGACCCCTTAAGGAGTTATTGCCCTTTAAAGTCAATTTTTCACAATTTAAGTTTTTGTAATCTTTTACAAAAATCTTCTTTGAAACTACTGGGCCAAATTAAACCAAACTTGGCCTAAATCATCCTTAGGGTATCTAGTTTTAGAAATGTATCCAGTGACCACGCCCATCAACCAAGATGGCCGCCATGCCTAAATATAGAACATAGGGGTTTACTATAGAAGTCTATGGGAAAAATGTAAAAAAACAATTTCAGATGGTCACAACTTGAAAACTAATTTAAATAATGATAAGGGGTCTTCAGTTACTATATATATATTGTAAGACTACAATGGGATGACCTGCTTTTAATTTAACTACTGGGCCAAATTAAACCAAACTTGGTCTAAATCATTATTGGGGTATCTAATACTATTTATTATGATTTTAACCTTATTTTACATGATTTCCAAAACCACAGTAGATACAGGTGAGCGACACAGGCTCTTGAGAGCCTCTAGTTCAGTTCTGTTACAAATGGCATGCACAAACTCCTGATGAAATATCATATTTTGTTTCACACATATTTTACTTTATCAAAAAGTTTGTAATAACTTAATTTCATTTGGCATATATTTTATATTTTAGTAATTCAAGAATGCACAGCAAATCAGAATATGGTAGAGGAAGGACAGAGAGAACAGGGTTTGGTTACAGGTTTTTCTGTGATGGCACAGAGGCTGATCTGACAGAATGTGCTCATAGTGTAGTTTCCTGCACATTAAGCTATATGGATATAGTGGCTATTGACTGCTCTAATACAGGTATTTGATAACGATGATCAGGATCTGCACCTTATTTTAGTTCCTCTTGAGCATGCTCACCTCTTGCGTGGTGATATAGTGGCTATTGACTGCTCTAATACAGGTATTTGATAACGATGATCAGGATCTGCACCTTATTTTAGTTCCTCTTGAGCATGCTCACCTCTTGTGTGGTGATATAGTGGCTATTGACTGCTCTAATATAGGTATGTGATAACAGTAACTTTGATAACATGCTTCTGGATGTTAAAGCAGTGATTGATTAATTGATTTCTAAATCAATTTTAACCAAACGTGAGAGTAATTTAAGGAAGGTCATTATAAATTCTTCATTTTGTACATTTGAGATTGAAAGGATGTTTACCAAAAGCCAGTTTTTATGGTTTAGGTGTACAGGTCTGACTGTATAAGTCATTATACTGCGCTAAATAAGTGTCTATTTCTAATATATATAACATCATTGAAATGGAGATGACTTTAATTTTGCATTAACTTATTTATACTTCAAGCAAAACAATGTTTGAAAAAGAATGAAAAACAAACAGTTTATGTTATCTTTTTTTTTGCAGAATGTTTTGAGAATGAGTTCAATTGTGGTGGTCCTAATTCTACATGCATATCTATGGACCTTTTGTGCAACGGAAATGTTGATTGTCCAAACTTGGCAGATGAACAAAACTGTGGTATGTGTTTGAGTGTGAATGTATTTAATGTGATTTCATTTGTGATATAAGAACTGGGATAAACAGACATCTGAATGCAATAGGCTTGACTCCAATCGTTATCTTTCCGTCAAGGTATTTGGTCTAGGACAACATTTTATGACGTTAGTTGTGCATAAAATCTACGTCAAGTATTTGGTTTTAGACCACATTGTGTTACATTAGTTGTGAGTTTGTTGTGCATAAAATCTACGTCTGTTTGTTGAGCAAAGGGAAGAATATCTTAATTTGAATAATTTCCATATCACAGCTCAGATGTAGATAATAGATGATCAAATTAAAGGGGCACTAGCTGTCAAATTCTTGTTCACCGATTTGACTCAAATTCTCATATTTGATATAACAATGTAAAACATTTATCCAAATTATAAAAAGTCTAAAATAAACAATATACCGGGCATGGGCTCAATAATATGTAGCTTCGTTTCGTGTGTATTCTAGTCAAGACGCCATCTTATTAACTGTCGAGTTGACCCCCGAAGACCTCTGATTGCCATATAAGCGATATAAATATAAATATAGATATAAGTAGATATCAGACTCGTGCATTTGGATTTTTCTATGTCCGTTTAATTTCATATAATAGATTAAAAATATATGTTAATCATTGTTTTTACCTGTATAAGAATGATTTTTGTGGATTGAATCAGTCAATCAAATGATTTACCTTTGTATCACTTTCATTGTTGACATTCTTTTCCTTTAAATAATTGAACACGCACAATGCATGCAGTATCCATCTCTAGCTAAGGGGTTAAATTGAAGTTCACATGAATACGGATTCAATGAGGTCGAATTATTCACTTGCAAGTGAATAATTCATCATCAATGTTTCTTAGCTTATTTTGACAAAGTTGAACCATGCTGGCTGCTAAAAGCGATATATTATTTCACTATTTCACTTTCATTAATGATTGAACAAAAAAAATCATATTTTATATTTTTTATATATCTCGTAGCTATAGTGCCCCTTTAATATATTTCTGTAGGTGTTGATGAAAAATGGGCATAGGAATAAAAATGGATGCTTCAAAATGTGAAGCAGGCAAAATGACCTTGTAAGTCCAAGGATGCAGGGATCCAGTTTGCCCATAAAATATTTAAATGATGTCAGACATGTCAGAAATCAGTGTTTAGTAAGAGTTTTTGGTAATGAAATTGATATGAATCAAACATATTCATGATCCAGAATAAAAATATTCTATTGAATTTTACGGCAAGAAAATCCCATAGAAATGTCCAGTTTGATCCCAAGCGCTGTTTAAAATACAAATGATGTTGCAAACTCAATTGTGATGTCTAGGAAGTGTTCCCTATGTTTTATTGGAATTAGATCATGGCTTTGTTTTTAAGCACGGAGGAGTGTCATATTAAAAGTTTAAATTTGGGTGTGGCCACACTCATGTTCAGTTATAAAAAAAATTGGAATTTACAATACTGTAAATTCAGAAATTATTGCGCGCATTTATTATTGCAATTTTGTCATTTTAGACTAAAATGCAAGTTTAAATTATTGCGATTATAACTCTGTCGCATTTTTCGCAATAATAAAAACATCACAATAATTTCTGAATTTACAGTAATTATCTTATTGTATATTAAATTCTCATTTCTATTTTTTAGCCACATGTGGAAGTGATGAGTTTGAATGCAGTAACCATGAATGTGTACCACTTATGAACCGTTGTGATGGAGTTCCACAGTGCTCGGATAAATCAGATGAATATAGATGTGGTATGTGTATAAATAGGAGGCAGAGGTTGCTTGTCAATAATTTTTTTATTTTTATCAATTTTATAATTATGTACATACTAAGAAGACAAACAATAACTGATATAGTACAAAATGTTGATTGCAGGAGAATTTTGAATAAATAAAGTGTGTAAAACATTAAAAGATGACCAAAAAAAATCACAGTTCCTGACTTTTGACAGACACATTAACAAAAAAACTTATTCTTTTAAGATCTAAATCCTCGACCTTTAAAACTCAATGACAATCAGTCGACAAATAAAAGGTACATATAATAAATTAAGATAACATACTTTATAAATCGGTACTTGAAAATCACCTAACCAAAAAATAACGGTTTAATAGATAAAACACAAGTTTAAACATGCTGTTTATACAAACTTTTTTTCTTTTTTATTCATACCTAAGTATAATAAGATTGTTTTTAGTTAAAATAAGTACAGAATACTAATTACATGTTGATAAGCAAGTGTTTGAAATGTAGCATTGAATCATTTCTGACCGTGTTCTTTTTTCCCTTTGGATGAAATATGCTAGTGTACAAAAATCTACTATAGTTTTTGTCGAGCCTGCGACTTTTGTCACAAAAAGCTTGACATAGGGATAGTGATCCGGCGGAAGCAGGCATTAGCTAACTTCTTAATAGCTTTATATTTTAGAAGGCGGAAGACCTAGATGCTTCATACTTTGTATATAGATGCCTTATGTTACGAAGTTTCCGTCTGTCACATGTCCATTGTCCTTGACCTCATTTTCATGGTTCAGTGACTACTTGGAAAAAAGTTAAGATTTTTTGTAATGTTAATTTCTCTGTTATTATGAATAATAAGATAACTATATTTGGTATGTGCTTACCTTGCAAGGTCCTCATCCTGTCAGACAGTTTTCACTTGACCTTGACCTTATTTCATGGATCAGTGAACAAGGTTAAGTTTTGGTGGTCAAGTCCATATCTCAGATACTATAAGCAATAGGTTTAGTATATTTGGTGTACGGAAGGATTGTAAGGTGTACATGTCCAACTGGCAGGTGTCATCTGACCTTGACCTCATTTTCATGGTTCAGTGGTTATAGTTAAGTTTTTGTGTTTTGATCTGTTTTTCTTATACTTTATGCAATAGGTCTACTATATTTGGTATATGGAATGATTGTAAAGTGTACATGTCCAACTGGCAGGTGTCATCTGACCTTGACCTCGTTTTCAAGGTTCAGTGGTCAAAGTTAAGTTTTTGAGTTTGAGCCTTTTTTTCTGATACTATATGCAATAGGTCAACTATATTTGGTGTATGGAAATATTTTATGATGTACATGTCAGTCTCACAGGTTTTATTAAGTCTCCCAAACGAAGTTTGGGAAGACTTATTGTTTTTGCTCAGTTCTTATTATTATTATTATTCTTCTTCTTCTTCTTCTTCTTCTTCTTCTTCTTCTTCTTCTTCTTCTTCTTCTTCTTCCGCCGCTTTTAAATTTGAACTTGTCCGCACCTGTTCTCCAAAACCGCTTGTCAGATTAACTTAGGGTTTCACAATATGTTAGACTAACATGTCTAGTGGTGCAATCAGGGTTTTGTTTGTGCAATGGGGTTTATAAAGGGGTACTTTGAGGGGCAAAAAGAAAAGAGGGTTTTACTATAGAACCCTATGGGATTTTATTTTTTTAAATTTTCAAATGATTATAAATTGAAAACCGTTTGTGATAGACACATTCTTTTTAATTGAAAATGTTCTAAATGATAAAGCCCATTAAATGAAATACAGGGTTAGTCCCCAGGGGTCACCCCCACCCCCTGCCATTTAAGAAAGTTCTAATATCTTCTTAGTGGTCAAGATCCCCACCCCTAAACCATATATATTCTGGTTTGTCATGCTAAGATGGTTTGAATGATATACAGGGTTAGTCCCCAGGGGTCATCCCGACCCCCTGCCATTTGAGAAAGTTCTAATATCTTGTAAATGGTCGAGATCCCCACCCCTAAACCATATATATTCTGGTTTGTCATGATAAAGCACATCAAATGAAATACAAGGTTAGTCCCCAGGGGTCACCCCCACCCCCTGCCATTTAAGAAAGTTCTAATATCTTCTAAGTGGTCAAGATCCCCACCCCTTAACCATATATATTCTGGTTTGTCATGCTAAGATGGTTTGAATGATATACAGGGTTAGTCCCCAGGGGTCATCCCGACCCCCTGCCATTTGAGAAAGTTCTAATATCTTGTAAATGGTCGAGATCCCCACCCCTAAACCATATATATTCTGGTTTGTCATGATAAAGCACATCACATGAAATACAGGGTTAGTCCCCAGGGGTCACCCCCACCCCCTGCCATTTAAGAAAGTTCTAATATCTTCTAAGTGGTCAAGATCCCCACCCCTAAACCATATATATTCTGGTTTGTCATGCTAAGATGGTTGGAATGATATACAAGGTTAGTCCCCAGGGGGTCATCCTGACCCCCTGCCATTTGAGAAAGTTCTTATATCTTTGTAAATGGTCGAGATCCCCACCCCTAAACCATATATATTCTGGTTTGTCATGATAAAGCACATCAAATGTAATACAGGGTTAGTCCCCAGGGGTCACCCCCACCCCCTGCCTTTTAAGAAAGTTCTAATATCTTCTAAGTGGTCAAGATCCCCACCCCTAAACCATATATATTCTGGTTTGTCATACTAAGATGGTTTGAATGATATACAGGGTTAGTCCCCAGGGGTCATCCCGACCCCCTGCCATTTGAGAAAGTTCTTATATCTTGTAAATGGTCGAGATCCCCACCCCTAAACCATATATATACTGGTTTGTCATGATAAAGCACATCAAATGAAATACAAGGTTAGTCCCCAGGGGTCACCCCCACCCCCTGCCATTTAAGAAAATTCTAATACCTTGTAAGTGGTCAAGATCCCCACCCCTAAACCATTTATGTTCTGGTTTGTCATGATAAGATGGTTTGAATGATATACAGGGTTAGTCCCCAGGGGTCATCCTGACCCCCTGCCATTTGAGAAAGTTCTAATATCTTGTAAATGGTCGAGATCCCCACCCCTAAACCATATATATTATGGTTTGTCATAATAAAGCACATCAAATGTTATACAGGGTTAGTCCCCAGGGGTCACCCCCACCCCCTGCCATTTAAGAAAGTTCAAATATCTTCTAAGTGGTTAAGATCCCCACCCCTAAACCATATATATTCTGGTTTGTCATGCTAAGATGGTTTGAATGATATACAGGGTTAGTCCCCAGGGGTCATCCCGACCCCCTGCTATTTGAGAAAGTTCTAATATCTTGTAAATGGTTGAGATCCCCACCCCTAAACCATATATATTCCTGTTCGTCTTGTAATGAACATTTGAATGACGTATAGGGCCAGTCCCCAGGGGTTCCTCTCCACCCCCAATGTTCTAGTATCTTGTAAATGGTCGAGATCCCCACCCCTAAACCATATATATTCTGGTTTGTCATGCCAAGATGATTTGAATGATATACAAGGTTAGTCCCCAGGCATCACTAATGCATATAACTTTACTGGACCAAACCAATTTTCACTGGACGTTGCCCAATGTCAGGCGACCCTGGGAATTACGAATTATGGGAGCTTCGTTTGGGAGACTTCGTAACAGCATCCTGTTACAATCATTTCTTGTTTGACCTTGACCTCATTTTCAAGGTTCATTGCTCAGTGTTAAGTTTTTGTGTTTTGGTCTGTTTTTCTTAAACTATAAAGCCATAGGTCAACTATATTTGTTGTATGGAAGGATTGTAAGCTGTGCATGTCTGCCTTGCTTGGTTCATCTGACCTTGACCTCATTTTCATGGTTCATTGGTCAATGATTAGTTTTTGGCTAGCCTGCGACTTTTGTCAAAAAAAGCTCCACATAGGGATAATGATCCGGCGGCGACATTAGCTAACTTCTTAATAGCTTTATATTTTAGAAGCTAGAAGACCTGATTGCTTCATACTTTGTATATAGATGCCTTATGTTACGACGTTTCAGTCTGTCAAATGTCCATTGTCCTTGACTTCATTTTCATGGTTCAGTGACTACTTGAAAAAAGTTAAGATTTTTTGTAATGTTAATTTCTCTGTTATTATGAATAATAGGATAACTATATTTGGTATGTGCTTACCTTGCAAGGTCCTCATACCAGTCAGACAGTTTACACTTGACCTTGACCTTATTTCATGGATCAGTTAACAAGGTTAAGTTTTGGTGGTCAAGTCCATATTTCAGATACTATAAGCAATAGGTCTAGTATAATTGGTGTATGGAAGGATTGTAAGGTGTACATGTCCAACTGGCAGGTGTCATCTGACCTTGACCTCATTTTCATGGTTCAGTGGTTATAGTTAAGTTTTTGTGTTTTGTTCTGTTTTTCTTATACTGTATGCAATAGGTCTACTATATTTGGTGTATGGAATGATTGTAAGGTGTACATGTTCAACTGGCAGGTGTCATCTGACCTTGACTTCATTTTCATGGTTCAGTGGTCAAAGTTAATTTTTTAAGTTTTGGTCTTTTTTTCTAATACTATATGCAATAGGTCAACTATATTTGGTGTATGGAAATATTTTATGATGTACATGCCAGTCTCACAGGTTTTATTTGACCTTGACCTCAATTTCAAGGTTCATTGCTCAGAGTTAAGTTTTTGTGTTTTGGTCTGTTTTTCTCATACTATAAGCAATAGGTCAACTATATTTGTTGTATGGATGGATTGTAAGCTGTCTGGCATAGTTCATCTGACCTTGACCTCATTTTCATGGTTCATTGGTCAATGTTTAGTTTTCTTGGTTAAGTCTGTTTCTTAAAAACTATAAGCAATAGGTCAACTATATTTAGTGTATTGAATGATTGGAAGGTGTACATGTATTTCTCGTTTGGTTTATATGACCTTGACCTCATTTTCTTGGATCATGTTAAGTTTATGTGATAGTTGTAGTAAAGCTTTATATTTAGGACTATCAACATAATATCAATGGTTAGTAAAGAAGGCGAGACATTTCAGCGTGTTCCTTAGGGTGTCATTTCTGTCAATAGTACACTAGTATATGAAAATATAAGCTATTGCATTTCATGAAAAAAACCTTTGCTGATATAAAGGTCATTAAATGCCAAAAGTTCAAGATCACAGCATCAGTTAAGACTGCCATTTGGGTGAATTTTTGATTTCCATTTAAAATTGTCATAACTTTACAGTTGCCATCCCCAAAACCAAAACAACCAACCTATTGTATTTATGGTTACTTGTTTTTGTCCTGAATATTCATGAAATATTTGCCACTAGACATTAAGCATGTAACAATCAATCCATCAACAATTCCCATGACTAATGTGGTATTTAATGCTATTTTTGTAAATACATTCTGGCACACATTTACTTAGACACCTTTTGATAGTCAGTCTGACTGAGAAAAAAGTGCCTAATATATCAGGATGTCAAGACAGACATCAATAATATCTGAGCCACTCTTCCTTAACTAGTCTGTCTGACTGAAAGAAAAAAAGTGCCTTATATATTGGGAGGTCAAAACAGATATCAATAATATCTGAGCCACTCTTCCTTAACTATGAGGTTGTTAGAAGACACAAAGGGAGTAAACTATTAAATAAGTGAGCAAGAAGATATATAGTTTGTGTCAAATATGTGGAAAGGAAATTTCTGGAACTGATAGACCAACATCTTGGAAAACAGATATAATTGAACAAGTGGATCTTAAAGAGGGAAGATTGAGATAATTTGACTTTCTATCTTGTTTGAAATGACGGTAATTGAGGTAGTCTTTATTCAAAGAAGTTTGTTCACAAATGAGCGACGTCGGATAGAAATCGACCTTAGTCAAGTGCACCTATACATGTAGGTGTAGAAGACTTTGATTGATTTTGGAACATTTATATATGAAATAAAAGATTAGTTTTAGTTTGTTTTGTTGGGTTCTTATATCAACTCAATTTTCAAACAGTTACAGACTTTGCGTAGAGATTTAAACCACCTGAAATGATTTAACAGAAGTTCATATATATATATGTCATATTCATTTACATAAGGTATATTTCTATCTATCGCAGCTCAAATGATATACTTATTTGAGTCATTCTCTATTCCTTTTTGATTCAGCCATGCTGGATCTATGCGATCACTCTGTTTTTGGAGATGGTGCAGAATACTAAGTTGAAGACATAACATGAAACTAATTATGTGTTTATATGACTTGCAGAAACTTTCTACACCATTTATATTATCAACTGCCAACTTTTGACATGTTATTTTCCCTTAAATTGAGAAAAGATTGGTTGAACAACCCTTTTATTTTAGATATACACTTGCATATAGTTCCTTTGTAATGTTTTAATTAATCAAAATTTATAATGATTTACTATTTATGAACTAATTTGAAAAAGTATTTGTGCATCAATTGAATCAGTTGATAAGAATTTTGAAAGTATTATATTAGTATCTTAAGCTTGTGTAAGTTGTTGTTCAATATAATGTAGGTCAACATGTGTATTAATATATCTAAGTTGATTCCCACACTTTTTTGAAATGCTGTTACTCCAATTCTTTCCATCTATAGGCAAGTAAGAGTCAGTATGATTATCAACTGTCATGATTTTCAAATAATTACACTCAAAGGTGTAAGTGTTAATTGGAAACAACCCCAGGCTTAATTTACCACAGTTAATATCTCATGGCCTGTTACATAATTAGATAGACACAATTTATTACACACCTTAGTGAATACACATATGCACATTCTTGACCTCTATAGTAAGCCTACAAATGTATTATTTATTGTGATCTACACTACATTAAAATATTCTGTTAATTGTGTGTGTAAGCTTGCTAAATGATTAATCAGATGTATATATTTTTTTTTTAAAGAAAAGACAAAAAATGAAAAAAATATGTATAAAAAAAAGCAAGCAAATTTTTATTTCTCTTGTAAAATCAGTGTCATCATCTGACATAAGTCATTAATCAAATTCTAATTAATTAGTTACAATAATCAGAAATTTGGTTGAAACAATAAAAAACTCTTACCTGAGCATTTTCTGCAATACAATTTATTTGTTTGTTCTCCATTTATATCCCATTATATTGCTAATTAACAGTAATTGGAAATATCTCAGCATTAGGTATTTGTACATTTAAATTTGAATACAGGAAATGAATTTTTTCTTAATGAAAATTGAACAACAATTTAGATAAAAAACAGTTATTATTTTTTTTAATTTTTGTTTTTGAGAAAGCACATTTCCAAGGCCTCTTTCTGGAAACTATTAAGCCAATTATTATTAATGGCATATACAAAATATGATACTTGTTTGAAGATTTCCCTTTCCATTCTTGTCAATTCCATTAAATTGCAAATATTTATAAAAAAATCTGACAGTGTTTAAAATTGAAATATTAATATATCTATCAATATTTCAATATTTGCATCAATATTGCAAAATTCCCTACCTTTTGACAATAACACAGAAATTTTACAGTTAGATTGGAAATGAAAAGAGAAAAAAAAATATTGGAAAAAGTTTGGTCAGAAAGAATATCAGACTAGCTATGAATATGGCTGGATCACAACATCGACAATGCTTTGATTTTTTTTGGCAGTTAAACGACAAGACGATGGTCAAGTATCAGTATATACAGATGGTGTATGGACAACATTATGTTATTTAAATGATCAGATACTAGCAGAATATCTCTGTAGCATCACTGGATATGGGTATGTAAAACATGCACACATGTATACACATCATTTACACACATACACATCATTTACACACATACACATCATTTACACACATATCAGTATATACAGATGGTGTATGGACAACATTATGTTATTTAAATGATCAGATACTAGCAGAATATCTCTGTAGCATCACTGGATATGGGTATGTAAAACATGCACACATGTATACACATCATTTACACACATACACATCATTTACACACATATCAGTATACATATCTAATTGGCTATTGGTCATCTAAGTACAGAATCACTTGCTATTGGTTTGCAAAATATTAATGTGTTTATATATAGCAGAAAGTAAATAGTCGAGATCATTTGTAATCACAAAATACATAGAACCTAAAGAAAGAGACTAATAACTAAAAATGATAGGTCTAATCAAGGCAAAGTCCAATTAAATATAATTGAAAGTGAACTTATATAAAATTCATTTTGGCAATTAAGCTCATAATCCAACAAAAGAATCACCAAAAAAAAGAAAAATATTTGGGGATACCCTTGTTTTGCTTATTTTTGTTTTATTGTATAAAAAATACAAGAGAGTACAGTTTTTGAATCAACCAATTTACCAAGGATATAAAGCAAACCTTTTAAAGGTACAAATTTAGAATAATGTTTATAAAATTAAAAGTATTAATATGTGTCTTACAGTTTTCTAGGAAACTGTTTGTGTATACGTCCAGATCCTATGCAAGAAATGTTAGGGATTTTTTTCCATTTTATTTGTGGACAGAGGTTTGACAGTATCAATGGTCCAATCAACTGGGTCATTTTGACCTGTATTTTATTCAAGAATTACTCCAGTTAGTGTATATAAAGGTCCAGATCTAAGTTGTTATATATGTAGAAACTTTCTTTGGGGCAAAAAGTGGTCATTTTCTTCATTTTTTTAGCAGCTAAAATATGTTTGATGTTTTCACTTACAGATCTTTCTAACGTTTATTAAGGTTTTTATCAGTGTTAATTTTTATATTTGTTTTATTTTCAGACCATACAGTAGTTACTCTGCTGGAGTATCAATAACTGATGGGTTTCTGGCACAGTCTGCTTCCAATCCTACCGGTATCATCACTAACTATGTGTTAAACCCTCAAATGTAAGTATTTAATGTGGATATATTCATGAAATACTTATTTTAGGTGATTTCCTGGGTATAGGGATACCACAAATTTAAAAGTTCAGCAGAGTACAAATATCCTATAGATTTGTAAGCACAATTTGTAAAAAGAATGAAATCAAATATCCACAAAAGTATAAATTACCATATTATATCTAAGAAAATTGGTAGCCAGGAATATAAATGAATCTATGTTATATGCAAATATATGTTCAATACATTAATGGTTACATATTAGTTTTCATACTATATTTGTGGATGAAACTTATATATAGAAAGACCTATGTCCATCCTTGTGTTCACACACCAAACAATAAGTCAACCAATCAATGGGCCATTTTCTTGCTCCCTTGAATTAAAAGAACAAAACTACTGTGTTTGAAGATTTGCCACAGTCAAATCACAAATTGATGATAACAAATCTTCAAACATATTACTGATATTCCTTTTCTAGCAAAATGTTTAAAATAGGATAAAAAAAACATTGGCTGGGATTGCACAATGGTGCTGCCAATTGCTCTGACCTTCAACATGGAACGCACTATTTTCATATTACCAACTTTGGACTCTGGAGTAAATAATGTTTCGACAAGTTACCTACTCTGGGATAGGACATTCTGGTACTCGGTCAGGTAAGAGCATTGAAAAGAAGTAAAAATAAGCCTACAGTTGGTTCAATTCAAGGAAAAATTTATCTGTTTTATGTTTTCTATACATGACAAAATCATTGGAAAACAGTTATTTTTTTCCCACAATTGCAAAGAGTGTAAGCATGAGTTTATTTCTTTTAGATGCTTTTACTGAGAACCAGAATGTCCTATCACAGATATGGTAACTTGTAGAAAAATTATATCTACTGGAGTTAAAAATCGGTAATATAAAAAAAATCTAATGACAGCAGATCTCATCCAATAAAAAATATCTTTACATAGAAAATTGTATTAGAATTGAATATTCTTAAACTGGAAGTCAAGTTGGTGTAAACTCAATAAAAAAAAATCACATTAATTTTGTTAAAAAGTGTATTCCCCTATTAGTTCGGTTCAAATGAGTGGTGAAATAGTACTTTTATTAATGACAATTTATGTATCTTTGCAGGTCGTGTAATGCATTAACACTTCAGTGTGGAGATATTGGTGAGTAGAAAACTATTTCAATTACAATAAGCAAAAACTGAAATTATCATAAACGATAACTTCCCCATAATATATTAAAAGTTGTTTAGTCTCAAAGGTTGTTGGGAGCTTCACCAACAAACAGGGAATTCTCAAAGGTTGTTCGGAGCTTCACCAACCAACAGGAAATTCTCAAAGGTTGTTGGGAGCTTCACCAACCAACAGGAAATTCTCAAAGGTTGTTGGGGTCTTCACCAACCAACAGGAAAATCTCAAAGGTTTTTGGGAGCTTCACCAACCAACAGGGAATTCTCAAAGGTTGTTGGGGGCTTCACCAACCAACAGGAAATTCTCAAAGGTTGTAGGGAGCTTCACCAACCAACAGGAAATTCTCAAAGGTTGTTCCGAGCTTCACCAACCAACAGGAAATTCTCAAAGGTTGTTGGGAGTTACACCAACCAACAAGAAATTATCCTAGGTTGTTGGGAGCTTCACCAACCAACAGGAAATTCTCCTAGGTTGTTGGGAGCTTCACCAACCAACAGGAAATTCTCAAAGGTTGTTGGGAGCTACACCAACCAACCAGAAATTCTCAAATGTTGTTAGGAGCTTTACCAACCAACAGGAAATTCAAAAACTGAAACAAACATTGCTGGTGTAGTGAAGAATATTTTATTTGTTGACAGAAATTAAGGACTTTTGTTTCTGGAATGGTTCAAACATTTTGCTTTAATTTGCATTTGATTTAATTTTGTTCCAAATATCTTGTTTTCATAGAAGAGCCAGCTAATATTTATATTTTTTTAAATAAAACACAAGTGTTAAAGTACTTGTGAATCTGACCATGGCAGGTCACTCAAGTACCCTTAAAAGTGACTTTGCTTTTTATCTAATACATTTACTGTAGCATTTGATTAGTTTATTAGATCCTTGCAAGGTACATTGTAAGTCAATTGCTTTAATAATAATATTTAAGAAATGAAATTGAAAATCCAGGTTAAAAATTGAGAGATTTTGATGGAAAAAAAAATAAGATTCTCAACCTATAACCTATAGTTTTAGTTCATATATAAAGTGCCTTGTTATGACATTGTAGCATGCAATAGATAATCCACTTATTTGTATTACAGAATGTGGAGTTCCATCAGTTTCCTCGACCTCCGTTGGATCCTACATACTCTTTGGAAATGATGCTATACCAGGAGAGTGGCCATGGCAAGCTCTGTTTTTTATGGATGGAAGTTCTGGATGTGGTGCAACTTTAATCAGCCCGTACTATGCCATTACGGCAGCTCATTGTGTAGAGTAAGTGTTGCACTCTTTATAGCCTCTTGTTCATTTAGCTCTTCCAATTTTGGAGAAACACACTAGTGTAGAAATTTAATGACAAATTTTCCATAGGGTTTTATTTGATGGAATGAATGCTATTGTGAAGAAACCTATGTCATAAAAGACATTTTTTGTTGCCTACTGTTTATTTTTCTTTCTGGTCTGTGATGTTCCATTGACCCCTTCCTTAAAGGTTGAAGAATGTCAAGAGTTAGAAAATAAGGTACAATCTATTTTAACTTATTTGTTCATTACATATAGAATAATGGCATTTTTGTATTTGATACTGACTTGATCTGCAAGAATGTCAAGCAAGCCTGGTAGTCAGTAAAATGCCAATATTCTTTTTAGTCCCCTACCGACGAAGTCGAAGGGGACTTTAGGTTTGCACTCTGCCTGTCTGTCTGTCCATCCGTCAGTCCAGCAAATCAGTTTTCCACATTTCTTCGTGCTTGAAGATATTGATTAGATATTTGGTGTATTGTTGTATCCTGACAAGTTACAGATCAAGTTCGAATTTTGTTCAGGTCTGATAATTTTGTGCAGAGTAATGGTCCTTGGACTTAGAAAATTCACTCTTATAATCAGTTTTCCGCACTTTTTTTTGTCATGCTTGAAGATATTGATTTGATAATTGGTATATAGTTTTATCATGACAAATTACAGAGCAAGTTCGAATTTTGTCCCGGTCTGATGATTTTGTGCAGAGTTATGGTCCTTGGAATTAGAAAATTTACTTAGATAATCAGTTTTACACACTTTTGTTCATCATGCTTGAAGATATTGACTTGATATTTGTTATATAGTTTACACAATTTAAGGCAATTTGTCTTTACAAAATGTTTTTTTTTTTTGTTGTTGAAAATATGAAATAAATGAATTAATTAGTAAAACTACTTTTACCCAATAATCCCAAGTCAAAGTGGACAGCAGTTCTTAAGCAGTTTATTAGCATTCACAGTTCTTACTTGACAGCTGTTCTTTAGCAGTTCATTAGCATTCACAGTTGCCAAATTCAAGGCAATGGTTAATTTGCATATAGGCATTCCAAAAGCATTCCATAGCAGCTTCTTAGCAGTTTATTCAGCCTTCACATATATTTAGCAGATATTTTTGACGAAAAATTTAAATGAGATACTCCAAAACTGCTATTTTCTCTGAATATTCATGAGAACTGCTATAATAACAGCTATCAATAATGAATATTCATACAAACTGCTATGGAATGCTATCAGATCTGCCAAAAGTTGGAATACAAACGAAGGTACATGTACATGAATATACAGTGTATAAGATATGAATGCAAAAATAAAATTCTAATATTTTAAGTCTTGTTGAAATTTCGAAAAGTTGTAGTAACTTATATTTGTAACTTTAGCAGACTGCAATCAAATGATGCTATTTTAATCCAATCACAGACTTGTTAAGGGGCTGTAAACATGTTTTGTGAGTACTGTACCTGGCATTAGACCCCTTATTAATTATGTCAGTAGCCGAATAATAGGAACGGTTAAGAATGCACTTTAAATATCAGTGCTTATAAAAATCAACTTATTCAATAAGAGTGGTTACTAGAGACTATTAATTACCATGACTAAGTGATTTTCAGATTTAAGTTATTCTTTTATATTATTCTTTAATTACCAAATGTATACTACTAATTTGAAGCCTCTCTCTATATATATTTCATGTGGACCAAAAGACAACAGTTATCTCCTCTTTTTAATTTCTTAATACATGTAATATATTATGTTTCCACTTTCTGAAACAAACTTAAGAAACATACATGTATATTAAGTTCATTAAATGGACTGTTTGGTCAATACTAACCAATCAGCTATTTTCAGCCTAGGTTTCCCTAATATTCCCTCCCCCTTTTTTTCAACTCTTGAGTATGATTGTTTTTGTTTTTTTTACAAAATTATATCAAAATATTCTTTTTTTTTTTTGTTTTCAAATAACATCTTGCACTGTAAGTTTATGCTAGTATTTTATCACAATCCTGTAAACCAGATATTCTATGTGAATAAACAACTATCCCCCTTTTTTTGGGCTTTCTGTATGATTTCTGTTTTCCTCTACAAAGTTTAAGTCATAAAATACACATGCATTAAACTATACTTCAACTTACTGTAGTGCAGGTGTGTGAAAGTATTCCATTTAGCAAAAATATTAAACTTTATTATTGACAAAAATACAATTTTTCACCAGCAAGTATTTACACACAGCTTGGAGCCAAAATGCACATTTGAAAATGATCAAATAATCTTCAAATAAAGGTTTACTTTCAAGCTGAAAACACAGCCAGATTCAAGCATTTTTTTAACAAAGATTAAAACCAAAACTGCTATCAAACTGCTATCGAACTGTTGTCATAACTGTTGTCCAATTGACAAATTGACAGCAGTTTAAGAAGGTTTTCAAACTGCTAAGATGAATGCTAAAAAATGGTGAACATGGTGAACATTTTAGATGGACTGCTATGAACAGCTAAAAGACTGCTAAAAATATGAAGAACTGGTAAATAACAGCTAAAAAACAGCTAATGATAGCAGTTCAATTTGACTTGGGATTATACAAAACATTGTGATAGTTATTCTGTTGTATTAATGAAGTCACATGCATTTCATTGATAGATTGACACAAATGGACATAAACACATGACATTGCTGCCCTAAAATGTGACGTCTTTGCCCAAAATTTTTGAGTATCAAGGCCTGTCTAATCTTAACAAACATAAGGCAGTAAGATCAAAAGAAAAATGTGCAAATTGCCGATAATTATAGATTATCGTTGGTCATCTCAATGAGATTGATTTTCTCGCTTGAGCCGGTACAGCGAAAGCGGGAAAAGCAATCGAGTTGAGATGACCAATGATAATCTGTTTATCGCTATTTTGCCTACGACGATGTTGATGTTAACATTTAAAACGGCAGGTGCTCCCTTAGTTTCTAGCGATAATTTTTCATATCACTCTACTGTGCTGAGAAAGGAAATTATCAGTCAATAAGATCAAAGGAAAATTTCTTAAAATAGCTATAATAAGAAGTACAAGTTATATAAATGGGTCGCTATTTTGCATAATACAGCTGTTGCAAAAAGATGAATGTCTTTTTGTTTTAATTTCTTGAAGTTGTCTTACGAAAAAAAGGATTTTTTTTTCTTTTTCCAGAAGTTGGACCAGTTATATGATTCATGTAGGAGAAGTTAAAGAATCAAAAATGCTCGGAGCAAGTGATGATGGACAAAGATTAAACGTAGCTCAGGTAACTGCTCACCCAGACTACCAAGGATCCAGTAATACTTTCCTGTCAGACATTGCCATTGTAAGACTGTCACAGCCAGCTATTTATAACAACTATGTAAGACCTGCCTGTCTGGCCACAGAAGTCAAAGAAAGTTTTGAAAACTGTTACGTCACAGGCTGGGGATATAGAGAATTTGGTAAAGTTTGATTTTCTTAACTGTAGTCCGTGAAAACAAGGTTATAATGTGGATTTATTTATTTTTTCCAATACCAATTTTTTTTTTTAATTAGAAAAAATGTATGTTCGTTGATATATAATTTCACTTTCACCGTTCAGGAGTTGTGGTCCTTGAAAGATTGAAAATTGGTGTTTCCAGTCGTGTTCCTGCTGTAACTCATGAACCATTCAACCAAAACTTTTAGAATTTTAATATGTTGTTACTGATGACAAAATGGAGGTCAAGAATAATATTGACAATTTTCTTTTTCACCGTTCAGGAGTTGTGGTTCTAAAGATTGAAAAATGGTGTTTCCAGTCTAGTCCATGCATTTACTCATGAACCGTTCAACCAAAGCTTTTCAAATTTTAATGTGTCGTTACTGATGACAAAATGGAGATCAAGTTCAGTATTGACGATTTTCAGTTTCACTTTCACCGGTCAGGAGTTGTGGTCCTTGAAAGATTGAAAATTGGTGATTCCAGTCGTGTCCCTGCTGTAACTCTTGAACCATTCAACCAAAACTTTTTAAATTTTTATATGTTGTTACTGATGACAAAATGGAGGTCAAGAACAATATTGACGATTTTCTTTTTCCCCGTTCAGGAGTTGTGGTTCTTAAGATTGAAAAAGATATATAGGGTCAGTCCCCAGGGGTCCCCCCCACCCCCAATGATCTAATATCTTGTAAATGGTAGAGATCCCTACCCGTAAACCATGTATATATCCAAGATGATTTGAATGATATACAGGGTCAGTCCCCAGGCATCACTAATGCATATAACTTTACTGGACCAAACCAATTTTCACTGGACTTTGCCCAATGTCAGGCGACCCTGGGAATGACTAATTATGGGAGCTTTGTTTGGGAGACTTCGTAACAGCATCCTGTTACAATCATTTCTTGTTACCATCAATGTCAACATTAATTACGTTTTTGTGTCACTGATGATGAAAGGTAATGTTTACCTGTAAATCAAAGAACTTGTATAATTATATGGCTTCACTGGACAGGTTGGGTGTCAAACATTCTACTAATCAAAGATTTTTACCTCAGGCTAACTGCCATTATGCAATAAAAGCTTTGTGTATTTGAAAACACTTTAAAGAAAATTCGGGTTACTTCCCTTGTTTTATCATGTTTTTAAGTTATCCTCCTTAAAATAATGTCAATTGATAAAATAATACCCATTAAATAGAAATTGAACAAAGAACCATAAAAGTCTGGTAATTTAATGATTTTAAATGTCTTAGGACAAATAAAAAAATATTATTTTGAAAACTATTTGAGAGATCCATACGTCTATTCAATGCTGAAATTGAAATTTACAAGTTATGAATTATCCATATTTTTATGAAACTGACCGTGCGAGGGCTGTATAGCCAATCAAGGTCGTTAAACACTTCCATCATCATCATTTTTATTAAATAGACTGTATAAGCTAAACTTGGGATCAAATCATACATGTAGCTTGAAAATGGAGTAAAACTGTAGTAAACACAATGTCAATTAATGCTGGAAAATAGAACTGAGAAACACACTACTGATGACAGTGATGAGGATAGGAAAAAAATATTACATACAAATAGTATAGCTTAGCTATAGTGTTGACAAATATTTCACATGGTAACAAAAACAGAGAGAAAACATCAATAGCAATACTGTTATCTTAAAAAAAAAGGGGACATATGTAGCTTTATCAACAAAATGAACACTGAAAACGGCGATAAATCATATAATGTCGATTAAAAAGGCCCAAACTCCAGCTGAAAATTTTCAAATCTCCAATTGTGACTTGACAACTCTGTCACATGTATGCAATATTGATAATTTTCACTTTTACCGTTCTTGTGATATTGAAAAATGCCAGGACACAAATAAATGTTTAATAATCCCGTTTGCTGTCACTCTGACAGCGTCTTGTTACAGTTATTAGTCACAAAATTCTATACTAGTCATTCTGTTATGCAAGTACTTACCTACAGTATTATGTATTTGAATATTATGTTCTAATTCGTAAACTCAACCGAACATAAAACATTTATCAATATAATACAAAACTCTCACATGGGAGAAACCACTTGCAAAAGTCAAGATCAATTTTATTCAGATAATAAATACACGTAATTCATTTTATCTCAATGAAAAATGTCTGTCTGTACATAGCTCTTCAATATTTGCAACCCATCTTGGACAATCAACCTGTAAATGAATAATTTTTATAATTATTTATTTGGAAAAAACCCTCTAGTACACTTGACTGTAATAGCTCAAATAACTTGAACTACTACCAAACTACCCATGCATGGAAACCTACCCGTATTCTTTTATATATATTCAATCAAACAGACCTATCTATAAATACCATAAACATGTGTACCTTAAAACACAACAAACTTGTATCGATAAATGTACAACTTTGATAAATATAGATATAGCCATCAGTTTATGAATCATAAAAAAGAAAGAGAGATTTTAAATTTCATTTAAGGAAAAGATGGACTTTCTCTTTTAAAACTTGAGTGTTCTTGTATTGCTCTGGTTCAAATTCATCATTTGAAAATTAGAGCATGCGATCGAAAATATTAAGAAGTTTGTGTGATGTTTTAATTATTGCAAAAAAATTTAGCTGTGGCAGATTCCCCAAAAATAAAAACTTGCATTCTAAATTTTTATAGCATTATTAGTATGCAGAATTTCCTGAAATTGCAATAATTAATCTCACATTTTTGTCACACAATAATAAATGCAAGCAAAACTTTCAAATTTCCAGCAGGTATTTATCTTGGTTAAAGTGATCCAGATAATGCATGAAATCAGTATCCCACAAGTCATAATTCTTTCCCAATAGTAAGATGAAAAATTTAATTGTGGGTCTACTTTCAATGTATATTAATCTTTATGAAATAAATACCAATATAAATCTCCAAATTTTTTTTTTAAATTGTTTTCAGTTATAAGAAACAAGATTTCCTTTTCATATTAAGATTATGTTTGTTTTTTCATAGCTCCAGTGCCAGACAACCTACAAGAAGTTAGAGTAGATATAAATGTAGATGTAGACAGATGTAATAGGAGTATTCAGGCTAACTTAAAAATTAATGTACCTGCTGATGGTATATGTGTAGAGAACAAAAATCCATACACACCATCCTGTAATGTAAGTATCTGCTACTGGTATCTGTAGAAAACAAAAATCCATACTCACCATCCTGTCATGTAAGTACCTGCTACTGGTATCTGTAGCGAACAAAATTCCATACACACCATCCTGTCATGCAAATATCTGCCTAGAGAACAAGAATCAATACTCACCATCCTTTCATGTAAGTACCTTCTACTGGTATCTGTGTTAAAAAACAAAATTCCATACTCACCATCCTGTCATGTAAGTACCTTCTACTGGTATCTGTGTAGAGAACAAAAATCCATACTCTCCAACTGTCATGTAAGTACCTTCTACTGGTATCTGTGTAGAGAACAAAAATCCATACTTTCCATCCTGTCATGTTAGTACCTTCTACTGGTATCTGTGTAGAGAACAAAAATCCATACTCTCCATCCTGTCATGTAAGAACCAGGCATGGGGTAATGCTAATTTGTAATTGTGATGCCCTGTAATGCATTACATTTCCCTATGTAATGTGTAATGCCCAAATTTTTTTGCATTACATGTAATTGTAATGTAATGCATTACATAGGCAAAAATGCATGTAATTTATACATTACATGGCATTACATAGCATTACTTCTTGTCTGATAGTGCTATATATTTATTCAAATTTCAGGAATAATAAGTACTACTGTTTTATTCTTTCCTTTAAGAAAATAGGAAAATTAAACACAAATCAATGTCTAGTTAAAGGATTAACAAAAAGTGTAGATTTGAACTGTTGTAAAACTAATGATTTTCTTCATCTTACCTAAATACTAAAACATTTATACTAATAATTAAAACAGATCTATTTTATAAACATACAGAAGTAATATTATTTTTTATTTGCAGTCATTTTCATATACCATTATAGTCATTGAAAAACCTATACATATATATTTAAAGATAGAAGAAATAAGTTGAATGATTGATAATTGACACATGACAAAAACCACTAATTAGTTTGTATAGCAATCATTTCTTGTCTTTTGACAAAAGTGAATTTGTGATTCTAAAGTAATTAATTAACATTGAGATTAAGTTAACAATATAATCAAAAATCATCATGGAAGAATAAATTCCTTACAACATTTCTGTTATTTCTTTTTTGAGAAAACACAGAGATGTATACTACAAAATATAAAAACCTGACCAGAAGAACAATCAACCTTGGCAAATTTTGTAAACCCATCTGGTATTCAGAAATATCAATTAATTAAATGACCCAAAGCAAAACAATGGGTGTGATCACGTTTCTCCAACATTTGATAAATAGACTAAAACAACATTAGGGATTAGGGTGGTCCTCTTAAGGACTGACATCTTGATATTTACCTGTAATTCAAAGCTATAGATTCACTTTTCGAGTATATTGCTAGAAGTGATTTACTCCCATTTTCAACAGTTGAAAGTCAAAAGTTTAAGAACTTTATAGAAAAGCTTAACTCAAAATTTCAAATTCCAAGCAGGAAACATCTCTCATCTAAATTGATACAGAATAAGGCCAAGGACTTTTGTCAAAAATTGTTTGATAACCTTCAGGAAGCTAATCACGTTTGTTTGACAGTTGTCATTTGGTTTAATAGGGCAATGAAAGGATTTTTTATAATACCTATTTAATAGTTACCAAGATTGCAGTATAAAATGTTGTATATATGTTTCTTTTGATAATACAATTTATAAAATGTAATGTGTAAAATGCATTACTTTGGTAAAGTAATTGTAATTTAATGCATTACTTTCCAAAATACATGTAATTGTAATTGTAATATAATGCTGGTTTTGTCCAAGTAATTGTAATGTAATGCATTACATTGCAATGTAATTCGCCCCATGCCTGGTAAGTACCTTCTACTGGTATCTGCATAGAGAACAAGAATCCATACTTACCATCCTGTCATGTAAGTACCTTCTACTGGTATCTGTGTAGAGAACAAAAATCCATACTCACCATCCTGTCATGTAAGTACCTTCTACTGGTATCTGTGTAGAGAACAAGAATCCATACCCACCATCCTGTCATGTAAGTACCTTCTACTTGTATCTGTAGAGAACAAGAATTCATACTCACCATCCTGTCATGTAAGTACATTCTACTGGTATCTGCATAGAGAACAAGAATCAATACTTACTATACTGTCATGTAAGTATCTTCTACTGGTATCTGTAGAGAACAAGAATCCATACTCTCCAACTGTCATGTAAGTACCTTCTACTGGTATCTGTGTAGAGAACAAGAATCCATACTTACCATCCTGTCATGTAAGTACCTTCTACTTGTATCTATAGAGAACAAGAATCCATACTCACCATCCTGTCATGTAAGTACCTTCTACTGGTATCTGTGTAGAGAACAAGAATCCATACCCACCATCCTGTCATGTAAGTACCTTTTACTTGTATCTGTAGAGAACAAGAATCCATACTCACCATCCTGTCATGTAAGTACCTTCTACTGGTATCTCTGTAAAGAACAAAAATCCATACTCACCATCCTGTCATGTAAGTACCTTCTACTGGTATCTGCATAGAGAACAAGAATCAATACTTACCATCCTGTCATGTAAGTATCTTCTACTGGTATCTGTAGAGAACAAGAATTCGTACTCACCATCCTGTCATGTAAGTACCTTCTACTGGTTTCTGTAGAGAACAAGAATCCATACTCACCATCCTGTCATGCAAGTATCTGCGTAGAGAACAAGAATCAATACTCACCATCCTTTCGTGTAAGTACCTCCTACTGGTATCTGTGTAGAAAACAAAAACCCATAATCGCCAACCTGTCATGTAAGTACTTGCCCCTTCTACTTATAAATTTTTAACAGCTATTAGTTTTTAATGCACAGTATAAGGACTTTATTTTACCTTGTCAAGGATGCTGGTGAATTTTGTACAGTTGATGCAAATAATATGAAGACGAGTTATGTTGTTGAATATAATATCTTAATATGTAGATGTGCATATTTTTATGTTGTGAAAATTTGGAAAATTAATTTGCTATAAAATGCTTTGTGCAAGCATTTTAACAAAAATTGATGTATAGGTATACTATAAAATGCTATTCCAAATTAATTTCCTATGGCAAAAGCTATTCTCCTTATAAATAATAGGTATGTTTAAGGATGTAGTAATTTCAGGTTTAGGAATTTTTGTTAGATGTTTTGACTCCTTACAATACAAAAAGAAAAATATTTTGCCCCATATCACCCGCTTTTCTTTTCATAGAACGCTTCAATAGCTCATAAAAGGTCATTACCAAAATTTAAGCAGATTGTAGATATCTTTTCTTATGATTTGAGACCCAACTAATGCCAATGCTGAGTATAAGGTAAAAGACGGAGTCAGTCTTTTCCCACCATTTTTTTTAATCAAATATCTCAAAAAGGAGTTCCATAACCTATCAATATTTTCAGCTTATTTAATTCCTTAACTTATGCTCTTCTGATTTATAGTATCAATTTTAAAATTCAGGTTTTTTAATTTCACCTGACTACATTCTAATGCTATTTTTATTCCAGGGTGATTCTGGTGGACCTTTAGTATGTCAAAACAAATATGGACGATGGGAGTTGGTTGGTGTAGCCAGCTTTGGGATGCGTTATTGTCGTAGAGACCAAATCCCAGCCATATATCAGAGTGTACCATATCATATTGATTGGATTATAGAACAGACAGGTAAAATTATAAATATGGTGTCAAGTTATTTTATGGAGGTTATGTGCATGCTTTGAAGTGGTTGGTTTGATCACTAGCTGGGTCAAACCTAGACTTGAAAATAAGTATTTGATCTATATGGTTTAAACATTTATGTACTCTGAATTCTGTATGCTTACCATTTCATGTCTTCTATTTTTGTGTTGTTTAATTGTTGTCTCAAAGACGTTATTCATATTTGTCATTACTAGAACACTGACTTTCCTGTAAAAATTTGACTTCACAAGAGAAAAAATTTTGATGTCACATAAAAAATGATTGTTGTATGACATCAAAAATTCAATTGTCACGAATTCTCTGTCTAGTATCCCTTCTCTGGTCTTGCAGTGCAGGTCTGTTGGCCAAATATTAATAAGTTCTATTGACCTATACCCGGATATCTCATTTAATTGATTTTATTTTTTTTCAGGTATACAGATAGATATGGCAAACATACCAACACCTCCACCGGAGACCTGATTGACCATAGGATCCTGGACTGATGGAAAACATGTTTTACTACCTTAAACCAAAGAAATAATTGGCTGTTACTTGTGGTCAAATATTATACATCAACAAACCTTTCAAATTTTTGAGTTTAATAGGCATAAAATGTAAATCTTGGCTTGAATGAGAGCAGAGTTATGTTACAGCTTTCTTTATGTTTTTTTCTGACAGTGCCATTATTTGTTCTTAGTTAATTATGTATGTATGTACTGGTATATTTTTTACTATTTTTATGAAATTGAATATTGTGTATTTGTTATAATTTGTAGGGTAACAATTTTACGTGGATATAGGTAAATCACGAATCAAAATGTTCAACAAAGTACAAATTTTCCATAGAATGTATGCCGACTTTGGCAAAATAACAAAATCATATATCCACAAAAATACTATTTTCCTCAATCCACAAAAACTGGTTACCAAGAACATAAATGAAACAGGAGCTTCATATTTGATACAGTGTATCATTTACTCATCAAGTTATCAAGAAGAGCAGCATTCATGTTTATATCTATATATTTTTCTTTTTTTTATTTTTAAAAGGAGCTATTGGTTAATTTGTTGGGGAACTCAGCTTAGAAATTATATAAAAGTCAACGATTTATTTGTTACATATTACTGGTTTAAAATCATACTGTACCCAGTTCTGTTCATTTCCAATTTGGAAACTTTTCCTCGATAACTAATCAGTTTTATGTTGGGTTTCTCTCTCACAGACACTGGTCCCTTTATTTAAACCATTAACCCTTTCCTCCACAGAGAAATTTTTATTTACTTATTGCTCATAGAATATTTCAATTAAATAAAGTTATTTTAATGATAAAAAAAAATCTTTTAAAATGACCATGATGATTTAGATAAAAATATTAATACATTTGAAATAATGACTTGCAGCTAGAAAAATTATTTCATCAAGGAAATTAATGTTAGATATTCCAAAGTATATACATTTTATGTTTGAAACAAATTTGATGCAGTCTTCTACAGATTTTTTTGGGGGGTAAACATGGTAAAGGGCTAAGATTTAAATTTTAAAACTTTAATATCTCAATTGATTTAAAGAAGGAATGCAATTTCTGAATATGATATATTGCATGAAATAATCGGGCAAAATTTATTTAAACCAGTTTAAATACATATAAAATAAGAGAAATATATATATATGTTGTGTACAAATTGTAATGTTGTACAAATTAAAATTTGTACATTATTTTTGTACAAGTTATCAGTATTTTGTGAATCTCTTTACATAATTAGATAAAATAAGCACAGAGTCTTTGGTTAAGCTTATCACTGTTTTATTTCCACAATTACATGCTACAGTCTTTCACATAGTACTGACACAAAGTTTATACAAAAACACTAAAATGTATTTTGTGGACATAGAATTTGGTATTAGTGAAAAATAAAAATATAATCAAAATTAATCAGATGTCCTTATTTGTAGTTTTATGACATAGAGGACAGTGCCAAATGTATGGTTGAAGTATATAAATTTGTGAGTAATACATCGAATTGGATTATAAATTATTGAAGATAAACTTGTATCACCTGGTGAAAGAAGGTGTGTGTCAAAATACTGATAACTTGTACAAAAACCCTGTACAAATAATAATATCCAGCTTTTTGTATGACACGGAAATATATTTTGATACACATTGATTATACGTTTGAAAAAACATTTATTTGCCGCCTATGCCGGTGGTTATGTCTGGAAACATCAATAAAATTAACTGTACCTCATTCATGTAGATTACCCTTGTTCATCTTATGATTCCACATGCATTGTTTGTTATTACATTTATTGTTAAGAATACTGGGCTGGTCCCAGTCTGTTCTCAGTTTTATAGTGTGTGAATATTTTTATAAGACAGTTATTATTCAATATATATGTTTTATTAAAAAAGCATATCTAAATATCAATCTTATGTTTCATTTTGTGTAATTAGACCGTATAGTAGTACCTACAAATTTGCAAAAAAATGAAAACAGCACTTTATAAGTTTCATGAGTCCGAATGGCATTTCTGGATTAACCTTCATCATAACGCTCAAAACCAAATATTTGAAAGCCAATAATGTAAATGGACTGACACAGTTGAAGAGATATATGACCAAAAGGACCTAATTAAAATGATAGTCTAATCCATCTCAGGTCAATTTTGCCTGAGGAAGTTGGAAATTTGGCAAAATGTAACTAAGGCACTTTAAATAGAGTACCTTATGATTGGAGTTTCTAAGCTTTCTGTACCCTTGTACAATCTTTGAATGGTCCCTCAGTGGCCTAGTGTTACTTTTGTCCCTTTTCAATATCCTAGTCAACCAACTTTGCAGAGCCTAACTTTTTTTTTTTGCCCCTGCAACTGAAAGTTGGGGGGAATATTGTTTTACTCTAGTCCACCCATCCTTCCGTCCGTCCGTCCCATTATGGGTATATAGTTATTAGTCCCCTACTGAAGAAGTCGAAGGGGACTTTAGGTTTGCACTCCATTCGTCTGTATGTCTGTCCATCTGTCAGTCCGGCAAATCAGTTTTCCACACTTTTTTTCGTCAGGCTTGAAGATATTGATTTGATAATTGGTATATAGTTTTATCATGACAAGTTACAGGTCAAGTTCGAATTTTGTTCCAGTCTGATGATTTTGTTTAGAGTTATGGTCCTTGGACTTTGAAAATTCACTTAAATATTCAGTTTTCCACACTTTTTTTCGTCATGCTTGAAGATATTGACTTGTTAAATTGTCTACACCATGACAAGTTATAGATCAAGTTAGCATTTTGTTCCAGGACAATGATTTGTTAACCAGTAGGGGACTATGTATTGCCATGCAATACTTTCAGAATGCTTGTTCCAGATAACTCCTCCTACAGTTTCAATGCTAGGAAGTTTTCACTTTGCTGGCTCTTTGTACATATATTGAGGTTGTGCATGTGGTCAGGGTTTGATTTTAATTAGTATTTGCTCTTTTGGGAGATAGTTGAACTTTGTCATTTTTGAAGCACATACTTACATAATTGGTGCATAGCGTTTCCGGATAACTCCTGCTTCCATGCTCAACTTTTGGTATTTTAGAATAACACTTTGCATCTGATTGGGCATTATTTGTGTCTCCCAGACACAATAATATCTCAAAGAAAGTCCTACATTAACTTTGTTATAATACAGTTACTTCAGAGTGGAGTGCGGGGGCATCACTTTTGTCTAGTGTTTATTGATATATAGTTTTTGTCCTGAATAGACATGAAATAATCACATCTTGCCTGGAAATATCACAATGTAATTCCAAAATTAGACAATTTTTCAAGACTTTGGTAAATTTCAGAATTCATATACAGACTAAAGTCAAGCACAAGTAGGAACTCTTTCCTTTAAACACTGACTCTTGGTGCCTTGGGTAGATATATAAGTTGTACACTAATTTATAAATGTACTTTGATTAAAGGGATAATAAACAAGGTCAATGGATTCTATTATGAAATTTTGTTTTGTCTTTTGATATGCAGGAAATATTTGCCACTGGACATTAATCAAAAACTTATCAATCAATTGAAGCAATAGATAAATCTATGTATTAGAAAAAAAACATCAAACTGTTTTTAAGATAAATTTTACAAGCTAGTTTGTAATTGAAATTAGAAAATAATCTTTATTGTATTTTGATAATGTGACAACAACAAAAAATATGTTAAAAATAAATTTTCATGGAAAATAGTAGTATCCATATTATGCATACATAGATGAACACAGAGTTTTAATGGACCCTTTAAAATTTAAAGATGACATTGCTTCTCATAGTTTCTATGGATGCACTTACCTTAATATCAGATAATGTCTTCCCATAAAGTCTTCATCTTAAATCATGGCACTTTGTCAATACCAGCAATGCATAAATGGCTGAAAAATAAATTTATCATCTTGTTTTACTGTCCTGAGATACTTATTTATCCTTCAATTTCTGTGTGAAACAATTTGAAAGCAATATACAATATTACCTAATTCTATTCTGGATTTTGCATCTTTTTGTTATAGATATTCTGTAAAAGTAAATCCATCTGAACAGCTGACAAGCTCTCCTCCAATGACTCGGCAAGCTGACTGAAAAAGTCGTCAACTAAATGAGCTAGCATTAGAGATAAGTCATAACGCAAAAATTGTCGATAGTAAAAAGGCGAAATATACTTTATAGTATTTTTTTTTTTTGTATTCTTATTTTTCATTTTCGCTTATGTGCTTTATTTATATATCATTTTGTTTTTCTTTGTTGACATATTTGGTTTTTTTTATATATATATATAGTGATTAAGATTATAACACATGATGACTGCTGTATCCCTATTTTTGACAATTTTGCCTATTACAATAGATAAAAAAGGATAAGGGGTATTTATTCATGATACAAAATCAGTACACGCACAACAGGAATACACAAAAAGCAAAGGAACAGCGCTTTTATTGCTGTCTTCATCTCAAAGTCACAGTGAGTCCTTCAACACGGAGCAAAAAAACTCTCACCTCACTGCAAGTTTAAGACGGCCCTAGCACCGGCTTGAGCGGAATGTCTGTTTGTTTTGTTTTCACATTGTTGTCAATATAATGAAATTTTAAGCGACTATCATAAGAGTAAGAGGTTGGGGTTGATACCAAGAGTTTAGACATAACTTCGGCAATGGCATTCAGGAATGAACTTTTCAGCGGTTCCAAAGGAGCAACGAGGAGGAACCAAAGACACTCAGATAGCTTTGCAATTTCATAGGATGTATCAACAGTAAAATTACTCCTTCTCCTCAACAATAATTTTCAACATATTTAAACACTAAAAAGTAAAATCACAAAAATACTGAACTCCGATGAAAATTCAAAAACTAAAACTATTTCTTTAAACATGTTTATTTACTTTATTTGTGTGTGTATATATTTTCATGTTTTTATTTATTTTTATCTATTTTTATTTATTTCATTTTTTGATATTTTTCTTTTATGTTATCACATCTAATATTTTGTATACATGTTTTTACCTTCTCTGTTACCTTTGTACGTGCATGGTTATATGAGAATAAATTATCTATATATCTATCTAGTAACAATAGATTCCCGTCTTGGGCTGCTAATAAATTTTTCGAAATCGTGAGTTTCATTTTAAAATAATTCATTAAAAAACAGAATTCGAATTCATAAAATTTTCCCGAAAGCCGATGTGCTAACTATCGTTATGTCAACATTTTTTTTTATTGAAAATAACTTATGTTTTCTAAATTTGTATTGTTATGCCCCACCTACGATAGTAAAGGGGCATTATGTTTTTCGGTCTGTGCGTCCGTCCGTTCGTAGTAGTCAAGGTAGTTTTTGATGAAGTCCAATGAACTTGAAACTTAGTACACATGTTCCCTATGATATGATCTTTCAAATTATAATGCCAAATTAGAGTTTTGACCCTATTTCACGGTCCACTGAACATAGAAAATGATAGTGCGAGTGGGGCATCCGTGTACTATGGACACATTCTTGTTGTTAGTAAATTCGTACTGGATTTGTTTTAAATGCCGAATAAACATACTGGTCATTTCTTTTTATATCGAAATTCCTCTACACTTACGAATAAGCCTTGTAGTAACTTGTACATTCTGAGTAATTTTCACACCAGATCGGTGAACACCCGAGTTGCACTTCTCTCATAGATCAGAACTGTTCATGCTACATTGTATCACATCTTTTGTATTTATTTTCATAAGTAACACAGAATGTAAACAATAGCTTTGTTATTAACATTGAAGTTAATATTTTTATTGTATAAAAACAAATCTGAATTTTCGAATACAAATACTTTGTTTTTGTGAATTGTATAATTCTAAAACATATCTATGGGTATTGTTAATTTAAACTAAAAACAATGGAAACCTTATTCTAAAAAAGTGTTTTAGGTTTCTGAACTTGGATTTTGAACGATAGAAACAAAGATTCACACCTTAAACAAAACTGCTTCCTCATGTTTTCTGAAAAGGAATTATGTAGTCCTGTCAGATAGTTCCAAAGACATTGTCAGTCAACTCAAAATTGACAAGAAAAATATATAAATGGGTCAAAAGGTAAACATGAAAGCACTATAATCTTTCCCGTGAAAAGGACAACATTCAAGCAGGATCGTTTAATGATAATAATAGAATATATACCATATCCCTTTACCCTTCTACCTAATTTTGGAACAGGAAATATCTTATTGTACAACCGGAAGTCATATTTTAGAATTCGACTGTTTCAACTTACTTTGCAACGTTGCTTAACGGGTGTTACTCAGAGTTTAGCTTCTCATATATTTTTCATTTCAAAATAGTCAAAAAAATAAATAAATTTACTATAAAATAACAAAATATAAGTATGATTATTGTAATGAAACTGCTTCGGTAGAAATCAAATGTGAACGACCACCCTAAATCGGAATCTCGATGACTGCATATGAAGGAGGCAAATCAATTGTGACTTGTATAATAACATTAATGGACGTTTGTCTGTTTTTTGTTGTATAGTTGTCAGAAATTAGAGCGCAGCGCATAACAAATTGATTTTGTTTATTTCACACTCCGTTGTTTTCACCTTTGTTCGGTTTTACGTCTGATTTTTCGACTCGATATTGCCATCAACCAACCATTTGTATTTGCTCACATGGCCCAAAGAGCCATGCAATGTCTAGTCATCACTGGTCATTCAGCAGCTCTACGTAATGTCCATTGAGTTAGTGTTAGGGTGAAATCGATCGATACGATCGTGCTCCGTTCATAATATGAAGTTGACTTGTGTTGATTATATTGATCGAACGTGGCATATGATCGCGCTCCGTTCATAATATGAAGATACAGATTACTGAATTGATTATATTGATCAACCGTGGCACAATCGTATCGATTGAATACGATCGTGATCCGTTCATAGTATGAAGATACAGTTGACTGCGTTGATTATATTGATTAACCGTAGCACAATCGTATCTATTGAATATGATCGATACGACCGTGCTCTATTCATCATATTAATATTGAGTTGACCGAGTTCATTATATTGATCAACCGTGGCACAATCGTATCGATTGAATCCGATCGATACGATTGTGCTCCGTGCATAATATGAAGATACAGTTGACTGGGTTGATTACATTGATCAACCGTGGCACAATCGTATTGATTGAATACGATCGTGCTAGGTTCATTATTAATATAGAGTTGAGTGAGTTGATTATATTGATAAATCGTTGCACAGTCGTATCGATACGATAATGCTCCGTATAATGAAAATACATTTGACTGGGTTGATTATATTGATCATTCGTGCCGCAATAGTGTCGATTGAATACGATTGATACGATCGTGCTCCGTTCATAATAAGTAGATACAGTTGGCTGGGTTGATTATATTGATCAGCCGTGGCACAATCGTATCGATTCAATATGATCGATACCATCGTGCTCCGTTCATAATATAAAGATACAGTTGACTGAAATGATTATAATGATTGTAGTGTTGACTGAGTTGATTTATCCTGACACGAAAGAAATATGTTAATTTGGTACAACAATTGATTGAATCGACATAGTGATACGATCGAATACAGTTGACAAGATATTATACTATAAAAAAAAATGTCGAATCTATCGATTTTCGAATACTCTACCGTACTCCAATGTTTACTGATGTACCCCAATTTTGACATTTTTACCTATTATGTCTGTTTGTTTTACACACACATTGTCAATATAATGGAATTCTATGCAACTGCCATACAAGTGAGAGGTTTAGCTAGCTATAAAACCAGGTTTAATTAATCATTTTCTACATAAGGAAATGCCTGTGCATGTTTCAAGTCAAGAATATGACAGTTGTTTTCCATTCGTTTGATGTGTTTGAGCTTTCGATTTTGCCATTTTGAATTTTCCTTGGAGTTCGGTTTTTTTGTTATTTTAATTTATACAAATAAATCAAAGACGCAAACAAAAAAGGTACGTGTGACCCGAATAGTTCAGTCGTAATAATCCGTTGATCTATGATTACTACATTATAAACGCCAACAAAAAAGTTTTGTTGTTGAAAGTAAATTGCCAAGGACGCCGATAAAAAAAATTTTTTTTTCGTTGATAGTTTATACCATATATAGTGTACACTTTCTCCATCAAGTAGAAATTAAATAAAATATAAATACAAAGTTAAACAAAACAGAAACACCACTGTAAAAACCCTCTTGTGTCCGAATCGCAGCACTTCAGGACATCCAACCAATGTCAAGATATTTTGTATACAATATTTTGAATGAACTGTAATGAGTAAACATGATTTTAAAGTTATGTAATTTACGGTCTAGTTCTTCCCATTAAAAAATATGATAGTAAATACCAAATATTATAGGGAAATAACCTTTTTAAGGTTGTTGACACCGTCAATGATTACTATGTAGTAATTTATTTAATTTTTATCGTAAACAAAAAAAAAAGGAAACCATGTCTATATAATTTCTTAGTAGCGTAGTAAGAAATTCATAAAAATATATGAAAGTAGAATTTATACTGCACTCTAACTTAGAGAATAACCGGGTAATCGCTCCAAGCGAAAAAAGGATCAAGGCAAAGACTTTTCTTATTAGTAAATGCTACATCTATTCAAACCGGTGCACACTGGTCGACAATTTTTTCAGAGAAAAGTGACTTTTTCCTGTGAACTGTTACCTTATGAGCAACATTTTACAATTAAATGAGACAATGTCAGTCTAGTATAATATTTTGTATCATATGAGCATGTTATTGTTTTGAATATATGGTATGTTTGTCCCACGATAACTAATCATTCAATACAAGCAGGTTGAACATTTTAATAAAATTAGCAACTACATCGTGTGTAAATAGGTAGCTATGCTGACCTGTAAATGTTTGTTTTTTAAAACATGTAATAATATTGCCTTAAGGTGGTACCAAACACCATGACTAAAATTAATTCGGCTCGTTTAATTTTCATACAATTTTGACAAAACATTTACTTTGACCCTTTGACAAAAATATAAAAATTTCAAAAAACTTGAACCACACACTTTATCGGAAAAATTTCATTGGATATAATTATAGCAGTTTGACAAACACTAATTTTGATCAATGAGAAGCTTAATATTTCCTTAACAATAGAACGCGATTAAAACGTTCAGCTGATTTTTAAAGAGTTATCTCCCTGTAGTTTTATGTACTACCTTAATGTTGTTGATTTGCTGTGTACAATGAATACATGTCATTACTTTTGTTTATATTTG